CCTGGGCGACAGAGTGAGACTCTGACTCAAAAAAAAAAAAAAAAAGAAAGAAAAAATCAGCCTTGTCCTGTGCAAAGAGCCCAGATCTGGTCCCACTCCATGGGACTTCCCTGGCCAGTTGCCTGATCTCTGGACTTTCTCTGTAAAATAGGAATAGCCTCAGATTACATTCATACCAGGCTGAGTACGATGACAGAGGTGACAGATTTGAGGAGTGTCCACTGGTGAAGACCTGTGGATCCTAGGCCCTCCTCAGCTCCTCAGTGGGACCAACCCTGGCCCCAGCTGAAAAATACACCCAGACTCCTAAAGTCCCAGGGTCTCCTTTCTGGCCTTGAATCATAAACGATAAGAGTTTACCCATTGGGGAAGTCCACTCCAACCCCCTCATCATACAGATGCAGAAACAGGCTCAGCAGATAGGGGAGGACTTGGCCAAAGGTCCTAAAGTGGATCCTATGATTCCCAACCCCCACCCCATACCACCAGTGGGTCCCTTCCCAACTCAGGAAGGAGCTTTGAGCACCTGTGTTAGAATCAGATGGCCCCATTCTTGCCAGGCCCAACAGTCAGACAAGAAATGAGAGGAAGGAGTGAGGCCATGCAAACTGAGGGGCTGCCTCTTGCAGCTGAGAGAACAGTAGGACCTCTGAACTAGACGGTCCACGATTCAGATGTCTGACCTTGGGCCTCAGTTTTCCCATCTGTAAAAGAACATACCACCACGACCTGCCTCATGGAGCCATGAAGAAAATGGGTACAGTTAATTTGTACATCCATGATCAGATAGCATTATTTACAACAGTCAAAAGGCAGAAGCAATGAAGTGTCCATCAATATGAATGAATAAGCAAAGTGCGGTATAGCCATACAATGGAATACTATTTAGTCTTAAAAAGAAGGAAATTGGTTGGGTGCGGTGGCTCATGCCTGTAATCCTAGCACTTTGGGAGGCAGAGGCAAGAGGATTGCCTGAACCCAGTGGTTCAAGGCCAACTCAGGCAACTTGGCGAGAACTCGTCTCTACAATAAATCAAAATATTAGCCAGGTATGGTGGTGCCGCCTATAGTTCCAGCTACTTGGAAAGCTGAGGCAGAAGGACTGCCTGAGCCCAGCAAGTCAAGACTGCGGTGGCCATGAGCGTGCCACTGTACTCCAGCCTGGGCGACAGAGTGAGACTCCAACTCAAATAAATAAATTTTACAAAAGAAATAAAGATAGTGAAGATGGGCCAGGTATGGTGGCTCATGCCTGTAACCCCAACACATTTGGGAAGATGACGCAGGACAGTTTGAGGCCATGAGTGTAAGACCAGTCTGGGCAACATAACAAGACTCTATCTCTACAAAAGATTTTTAAAATTAGGCAAGGGTGGCGGCATGTGTCTGTAATCCAAGTTACTTGGGTGGCTAAGGCAAGGGGATCATTTGAGCCCAAGAGTTGGAGGCTGCAGTGAACCATGATCATGCCACTGCACTCCAGCCTGGGCAATAGAGTAAGACTCTGTCTCTTTAAAAAAAAAAAAAAAAAAAAGGCCAGGCAAGGGGCTCACGCCTGTAACCCCAGCACTTTTGGGAAGCCAAGACAGAAGGATTGCTTGAGTCCAAGAGTTTGAGACCATCCTGGGTAACATAATAAGACTTCATCTCCACAAAAAAGACCCAAAAAATTAGCCGGGCATGGTGGCATATGTCTGTAGTCCCACCTACTCAGGAGGCTAAGGTGGAAGGATCACCTGAGGCCAGAAGGTTGAGGCTGTGGTGAACAGTACTCATGCTACTGCACTCCAGCCTGGGTGACAGAGTGAGAACCTCAACTCAAAAAAAAAAAAAAAAAAAAAGGGAGTTGGGCTGGCTCAGCCTGTAATCCCACGCTTTGGGAGGCTGAGGTGAGTGGATTGCCTGAGTCTGCAGGTTCAAGACCCGCCTGGGCAACTTGGCAAGACCTCCTCTCTACAGTAAATCAAAAATCAGCCGGGTGTGGTAGCGTGTGCCTGTAGTTCTGGCTACTCGGAAGGCTGAGGCGGAAGGCTCGCCGGAGCCCAGCAGGTCGAGGCTGCGGTGGCCGGGAGCGGCCGCTGCACTCCAGTCTGGGTGATAGAGTGAGACTTCAACTCAAAAAAAAAAAAAAGGGAAGATGGTAAATTATATGTTATGTGTCTTTGACCACAATTTTTTTTTAATTGGGGAGAAAAATTATGCATCTAAATTGCTAAATCTGGAGCTAGGCAAAGTGAATGCTTGGTAACAGGAATTAGCCCTGTTGCCTTCCTTACAACAAAGTAGCCCCAGTTTCCACATCTGTAAAATGGGATAACACTGCCTACTACCAAGCATAAAACATGATTAAAGCCAGGGCATGACACATAGTGGGCACTCAGTACACAGTGGCTGAGTGAATGAGCCAAGAAAAGAATGAACTGGTTGGAAGTTCCTTCTCTGGCCCTGTTTTTGGGCCACTGCCCACTCGCTGACTTCAAGACGCCCTAGTTCTTCGTTGGCATCGCCAGCCTGCCCATCCCCCACCCTGGTGTTAGATAGCGCCTTCCCTCCCTGCATTCTCCCCGTTACGTAACACGAATCGGCCCGGCCCCCTCAGCAACCTCATTATATAACTTCTTCCTGGCCACTGCTGCCTCCTCTTCATACAGGGCTCTGGGTCCCACCCCACACGCCAAGCACAGCCAAATGCTCATTTGCATGACCAGAGTAAATTCGGTCCTGGCAGCAGATCCACGGTTAAGTCAGAAACCCTGGGGCACCTTGGCAACTGCCTCTCGGCCTAGCCATCAGGGCTGCTGGGGGTTCAGGGCGGGACCACACTGCATCTGGGTCGACAACAGCCACCTGCCTCTGGGACGAGATTTGCCAGAAAGGGGGTCTGAGCTGGCCCCCTGGACCGCAGGTGCTGCTCCTGTTTGCAGGCCTAGAGAACCCTGCCTGGTTCAAGCCCTTCCCAGAAGCTCCAAGGACATAGTCCTGCTAGGAATTTGGATGTTAACAGGACGGGCTAAAGAACAGGCCCACAAGACCGGGGAAAAGGGGAAGGACACAATGGCCGAGAGAAAAACGGGAGGAGGGGAAGAGAGGAAGGGGTCAAGGGACTTAGCATCAGAGAGCTTGAGAAGGGTACAGCTGAACCCAGCAGCCAGTGAGCAAGAGTGGGCCAGGGAAGAACAGGCCTGAAAGTCAGATCACTACACTCTACTCTCTTCTCAACTCTGGGCCTCGAAGGGACAAGAAAGAACCACTGGACCCTAAGCCACAGCCCCTTCCCCATGGGCCAGGCCCACCTGAGACAGGCTGCCTTGGTTCTCTTCTGCTTCCCAGTGAGGGAAATGGCCCCAGAGAAGACTATTGTACAAGCCAAAGGTGCCCACCTTCTACTGGGCCCAGCTCCACCCTAAGGAGCCCTGCATCCTGGCTGAAGGAGCCAGGCATTCCACAAGGATGATTACAATAGGGACAATTAGCCAGGTGCAGTGGCTCACACCTGTAATCCCAGCACTTTGGGAGGCAGAGGCGAGAGGATTGCCTGAGCTCAGGGGTTCGAGACCAGATTGAGCAACATGGCAAAGCCTCGTCTCTACAATAAATCAAAAAATTAGCCAGGTGTGGTGGCACGTGCCGGTGGTTCTAGCTCCTCAGAAGGCTGAGGTGGAAGGATAGCCTGAGCCCAGCAGGTCGAGGCTGCGGTGGCTGTGAGCGTGCCACTGCACTCCAGCCTGGGCAACAGAGTGAGTCCCTGACTCAAAAACAAAGAGTAGGGACAATTAGAACACCAAGAAGCTGAGCCTCAGGTCCCATCCCCATCCATGTCCTGAAGGGGTACAGGCTGTCCAGGTCCCTGCCTCAAGCCCTTCTCAGAAGCTCCAAGGACATGGTCCTGCTAGGAGTTTGGATGTTAACAGGACGGGCTAAAGAACAGGCCCACAAGACCGGGGAAAAGGGGAAGGACACAATGGCCGAGAGAAAAACGGGAGGAGGGGAAGAGAGGAAGGGGTCAAGCTGGTGGAGACCAGCAGGGCAGCAGGGCCCAGCAGTGGCCGCCTTGCTTCCTGGCAGCGTCTGCCTCTGACCTCATGGGCAGGGGTGTGGGGATGGAGAGGCAGGGGGAGAGGGGCATGCAAGACACTGGAGTCTTTGTTTACTTGACTGGGTGGAGGCGGCCTCAGGACCAGACAGCCAGGGTCACGTGACCTCCTGCCGGCTGGAGGCCTTCTTGAGGAAGGGGGACACCCAGAGCGGTGGGAAAGGAGGGCGAGAGGGTGTGGAAATGTGGTGCTCTGGGCCAGGTCCACCATCTGACTCTGGAGAGCACCCCCTCCAGTGTGAATTGCTGGGTGGTGAGGAGGGTCGGGGCTCATGAGCCGGAAGGAGGCAGGGCGTGCTGTTCCATCGCAGCACCCCACTTGCTCCGCAGCCCTATCACCCGACTGTCCTGTTCCCAGAGCCAATTCATGCAGGGTTGAGCGATGGGAAGGGGGGTGTTGGCTGAAGAAGCCAAGAACGCAGCTGCACAAACAGGCCTCTCCGAAGGTGATGTCCCTCCCTGAGCTGGACTCAACCCACCCAGTCCACTACCGGCTGATTCTCGGAGCTGGAGAAAAGATGAGACCAGAACAGCACTAGTAGGGACCGGAGCGGCAAAGCCCCCAACCCACATCCACACCTGCACACCAAGACACACACCCCTGGACAGGCCACGGCCAGGCATGCACTCACCTACACGTAAAAAGGTGCAAACACGAGGTCAGAGTTGTGGGCAGATCTTTCCATCTAATGTATTTTGCATCTCTCTCTCTCTCACACACACACACACACACACACACACACACCCCACCCACTCAGAGAGGAAGTGGGTCTCCAGAATGAGGGAGGGGCTCCAGGGCCTCAGAGACTAAATGTGACTCTCCTTATCTTCAAAGAGCCTCAAGCAGCCAGTGTGGTGGCTCACACCTGTCATCCCAGCACTTTGGGAGGTGGAGGCGAGAGAATTGCCTGAACTCAGGGGTTGGAGACCATCCTAAGCAACATGGGAGGCCTCGTCTCTACAATAAACCAAAAAAAAAAAATTAGCCGGGCATACTGTGACATGCCTGTGGTTCCAGCCACTTGGAAGGCTGAGGCAGAAGGATCACCTGCCCAGTAAGTCATGGTTGTGGTGGCCGTGAGCATGCCACTGTACGCCAGCCTGGGTGACAGAGTGAGACTCCAACTCAAAAAAAAAAAATGAGCCCTAGCCGGGCTCAGTGGCTCAGCCTGTAATCCCAGCGCTTTGGAAGGCTGAGGTGAGTGGATTGCCTGAGCCCGCAGGTTCGAGACCCACCTGGGCAACTTGGCGAGACCTCATCTCTACAATAAATCAAAAAAATTAGCCAGGCATGGTAGCGCACATCTATAGTTCCAGCTACTTGGAAGGCTAAGGCAGAAGGATCGCTGGAGCCCAGCAGGTCGAGGCTGCAGTGGCCAGGAGCAGCCACTGCACTCCAGTCTGGGTGACAGAGTGAGACTCCAACTAAAAAAATAAAAAAAATAAAAAAAAGCCGTAAGCAGCAGATGCCAAGTGACACCCGGGTGCAGCCCCATGAACCCTCATAAGATGATAAGCCCTCCCGCACCCGAGAGCTGGTCCTCCAAGCTCCCAGGATCCAAGTTTCACAGCCCCTTCATTGCTGACTTCGTTGCTTTTCTGTCCCCACTCCAGCAGAGCAGGGCAAAGGGTCAATAAGCAAAGCAGCATGGTCTCTTCCGGGGTCCAGAGGCCTGGGATCCTGGCCCCTAAAGCCAGGGGACAGATTGGCCTCCAGCAGGCCCAGCCCAGACCTGCTCCCAGGCCCCAGGCTCTGACTCAGCGCCACTTGCCACTCGCCACTTGAGGCTCGAGGCTCCACATGCACGCAGGAGACAAGGAGGCGTGGCCCAGCTGCAGATGGGTGCAAGCTGGTGAGAGGTAATACACACGCCAGCCTCCAATCTGAACGCCCTTCTAATATCTGTCACGCTCCAGCATGGGTCATCACCCACCAGACTCCCTGCTAAAGAAATGTGGTGCGAACCGCAAGCTTCATCTACGCACACAATCCATCCCAGGGAGAGAAGTTCCCAAGCGAGAGACCTTCCCCAGCCACAGCCAAGAAGGAGAAATGCAAGGGGAGGAAAGCTGGGAGCGACAAGCCTCCAAGTCCTGAGTCCAGGGTGGAGGCAGGAGGGGTGGCCCACCCAGGAAGGTCTGGGAGGAAGGGGAGGCCACACCCTTCCCTCTGCCCCAGGCTACGTCAGGGTATCCAGGCCTGATGGGGTGGAGGCTCCAGCCACAGAGTTTCCAGGCTCAGCCAGAGATCTGGAGCAGGGCCAAGGACCCCACCTCCCAGAGGCTACTTTCCAATTGCAGCCTGGGATGGAGGGACTGGAAGGGGAAGAGGGGAGCAGAGGTCTCTCTGCAGAACCCTAAGTGCACCTCTTATCAACCATGGGCCAGGGACACGCCAAGACGAAATGAGTAGAAGGCCCAGCCTATGGTGGCTGCTGGGTTTGAGCTTCAGGCACACTCAACAGAAAACCCATGGGATCCCTTGAGAAACCCAGCCTGCCTTAGACCTCCAAGGGTGACCTCCCAAGCAGACCCTGGCCTGGAGGGAGGTTAGGCAACAAGGGCATCTCCTTACCTTGTTCCCTGGGGATCGCAGCAGGATAAAACGATGTTTCCGCTTGAGGAGGGCACGAAGGTCTTGGCACTTCTCATAGCTGCCCAGCTCCACAGTTTCCACACACTTCTGCTCGTCCTGGGAGGGTGACGGAGGGGGCACAGGCTGATGAGAGCCAGACCCACCATGACCCTTAGCCACTCAGACTGCCCCTAGGCCCTGACCCTGCTCAGGGAGGACACCACTCGGTCAGAGGGAGGACCTCACCCTGCCAATCAATCTCCAAGATGCAGTATTCAGACTGTAGCTCAGCATCCAGATGGAAAGCGGGGCACATAGCCCAGAGGCAGATACGGGCCTACAGCCAAGGAGGAAACAGAGGGGAAGCTACAAAGGCTTAGAAAGGGTGCCCACACGTCCATGCAGGCCCAGAGGCCAGGTTGAGATCTGGGGAAGAGATAGCTTGGAAGAAGGATGAGGATGTCACAAGACTGGGGGATGGGACTTTCCAGGAAGAGCCACAGAAGGAAGAGTCAGCAAGGAACATTCAGGGCTACACAGCCTGCCTTCAGCACAGCGACTGTTGGCTTACCAAGAGTCACCCCAGGCTGCAGACCATGCACAACTGGGAAGGCAAGGGCTCCTTCCAGTGTGTCCAGACCCACTCTCCAGCTACCACTGCGAGGCCTCATATTAGGAGGGTCAGGGGCCAGGACTGTGCCCAGCCTCCTCCAGGCCATCCCTGGACACCAGCCAGGCTGCCTAGAGTGTTTGCTCCACACCCTCTCCAGCAAGCTGCCTGGAACAAGCTCCTCCCTCCATGGCGGCCAACAGGTCCTCTTCTGGGGCAACCCAGTGGGAACAACTGCCTGGGTGTGGCACACTTTCATGCTGGAGAGTCCAGGGACGTAGCAGGGCCTCTGGACAGTGGGGGCATGGGTGGGAGGGTGCAGCGCCCTGGAGACTGGCCACAAGTTCGAGAAACTGGCTGACACCCAGCGGAAGAAGAAGCCTGACGAGCACTTCAGCATCTCTGATTCTCCCGAGCCTGGAGGTACAGCCCAGGGCCCCAGTGTCTGCCTGTTTTAGAGATGAAGGCAGTGAGGCCGGGAGGGGAAGAGATCTGCCCTGGAGGCACAGACCCAGGTACCAGGGCAAAAGCCCAACTCAAACCACATGCTCAGACTCCCAGGCAGGGCTCTCTCCAGACCCCACACTCCCCGCAGCCAAGCAGTGGCTTGGTCGCTGTCTCAGAAAGAGGCTGCTCTGCAGAAGTGCTCCTCCAAGGGTGGGGCTGGGCCAGCAGCATCAGCACCACCTGAGAATTTATTAGAAATGCAAATCCCGCCAGGCTCTGTGGCTCAGCCTGTAATCCCAGCACTTTGGGAGGCTGAGGTGAGTGGATGGCCTGAGCCCGCGGGTCTGAGACCTGCCTGGGCAACTTGGTGAGACCTCATCACTACAATAAATCAAAAAAATCAGCCGGGCGTGGTGGCGCATGCCTGTAGTTCCGGCTCCTCGGAAGGCTGAGGCGGAAGGATCGCCGGAGCCCAGCGGGTCGAGGCTGCAGTGGCCGGGAGCAGCCACTGCACTCCAGTCTGGGCAACGGAGTGAGACTCCAACTCAAAAAAAAAAAATAGGAAATGCAAATCCTCAGCCAGGTGACCTGGCTCAAGCCTGTAAGCTCAGGACTTTGGGAGGCACAGGCGAGAGGACTGCCTGAGTCCAGGAGTTCGAGACCAGCCAGGGCAACTGGGTCAGACCTTGTCTTTACAATCAATCAAAAAATTAGCCAGGCATGATGGCATGCACCTGTGGTTCCAGTTACTTGGTAGGTGAAATGGAAAATTTGCCTGAACCCACCAGGTCAAGGCTGCGGTGGCCCTGAGGATGCCACTGCACTGCACTCCAGCCTGAGCGACAGAGTGAGACTCCAACGCAAAAAAAAAAAAAAGAAAGAAATGCAAATTCACAGGTCTTATCCCTACTGAATCATAAATTTAGGGAAATAGGCCTGGCAAACTAGTTTTTTGTTGTTGTTGTTTGAATCAGAGTCTCACTCTATCATCCAGGCTAAAGTGCAGTGGCATACTCACAGCCACTGCAGCCTCAACCTGCTGGGCTCAGGCGATCCTTCCACTTCAGCCTTCCAAGTAGCCAGAAATACAGGTGCGCGCTACCAAGCATGCACCACCACACTTGGCTAATTTTTTTTTTTTTTGAGTTGGAGTTTCACTCTGTTACCCAGGCTGGAGTGTAGTGGCACGCTCCCGGCCACCGCAGCCTCAACCTCTGGGCTCCGGCGATCCTTCTGCCTCAGCCTTCCAAGCAGCCAGAACTACAGGTGTGTGCTACCAAGCCCGGCTAATTTTGGATTTATTGTAGAGACCAGGTCTTGCCAAGTTGCCTGGATGGGTCTCAAACCTGCGGGCTCAGGCAACCCATCCTCCTCAGCCTCCCAACGTGCTGGGATTACAGGTTGAGCCACCGAGCCCAGCCTAATTATTTTTATTTATTGTAAAGATGAGGTCTCACCAAGTCACCCAGGCTGGTCTCGAACCCCGTGTGCTCAGGCAATCCTCTCACCTTGGCCTCCCAAAGTGCTATGGTTATAGGTGTGAGCCACCACACCCAGTTGGCTAATTTTTCTTTATTTGTTGTAGAGATGAGGTCTCACCAAGTTGCCCAGGCTGATCTCAAACCTCTGGACTCCAGCAATCCTTTCACCTCCGTCTCCCAAAGTGAAGAGATTACAGGTGTGAGCCACCACGCCTGGTTCAAAGTGAGTTTTAACTAGCCCTCCAAGTGGTTCTGATATGTGCAAATATTTGAGAACCACTGCTCTATAACAGCGGTTCTCAACCTTAGTTGCACCTGAGAGCTTTTAAAAACCCCCAATACCCAGGCAACTTCCAGACCAATTGCACTAGGATCTCTGGGGGGTGAAGCCCAGACCTCAGTATTTTTAAAAGCAAGTTGTACAGCTGAGGTGAATAACCACTGTTCTACTCCCTCTTCAGTCTCTCAGGAAAAAGGGAGCAGATAGCTGGGTGGCACCATCTCTCCCATCCAGGTTTAATCAGGTGTCTTTCCCCATTCTTGTTTCCATACATACCTTTCCAATCCCTAGCCTCCTATCCCTTCCAGGTTCCTCCACCAAACACAAGGGCCAGAAAAGTCCTCTTGCTTGGAGAACCCCTCTACCCCCAGCATGAGTGCCTGAGACTGGGTGCTCAGCCCCCTCTGAGGTCCCCATATCCTCCTACTGGGGACATACAAACATCTACAAAGCACCCGCCAGGTGCAGGCACCCTACTAGGTGCTAGAGGCAGAGTCCTGCCATGGGAAAGTTCAGTCCTAACTCCCTGCTTGGCCACCTCTCTCCACCCTATTCTCTGTGTATCTGCTCTCCCCACCCCCCACCCAGCACTCTATAAGCAGTAGCCCTCAGGAGGGACATATACAGAAAAAGGTTGTGGAACGAGTTCTTGGCCCAGACAGAGACCCCAGAGAGTCTCCTCCCGCCTGGACATCTAGATCAGGGAAGCTGCCTGGGGAAGGATCCCCACTCCTGAGTGCAGCTCGCCTACCCCGTGTCCACAGGCATCCCCCAAGTGAACCACCACTGGCCCAAATGCACCCTCTTCTTCCTGGGGACAAAAGGTTATTTCACCACCACCACCCAGCTGCCCACAGCTGCCTGTCCTGGGTTTTCTCTCCACCAGAGACGCTGAATCATGCAGGCCCTTCTGCAGCTCAGAAGAAATGATAAACCAGCAGGCACTGGGCGGGGGCCGCATCTCTGGAATGTCAGCTTTTCTGACAGCAAAGAAACAGCCAAGAACTGTTTGCACTCGCCTAGTTCCTTACATCAGAAAGAGGAATTGAGCTAATAGGCATTTCTCAATTCCTACTCCTGGGCCAAGCTCTCCCTCTCCCAAGGGCTAAGTTCTTGAAACTGCATTTAGTTTAGTTTTGTTTTGTTTTTATTTGAGTTGGAGTCTTACTCTGTCACCCAAGCTGGAGAGTAGTGGCAAGTTCACGATCACCGCAGCCTCAACCTGATGGGCGCAGGTGATCCTTCCACCTCAGCCTTTCTAGTAGCTGGAACTACAGGCGTATGTCACCACGCCCAGTTAATTTGCTCTGGATTTATTGTAGAGATGAGGTCTCGCCACGTTGCCCAAGCTGGTCTCAAACCCATGGGTTCAGGCAATCCTTCCACCTCAGTCTTCGAAGTAGTTGGAACTACAGGAGCATACCACCACTCCTGACTAATTTTTATATTTATTGTAGAGATGAGGTCTCATCATGTTGCCCAGGCTGGTCTTGAACCCCTGAGCTCAGGCAAACCTTTCGCTTCAGCCTCCCAAAGTGCTGGGATTACAGGTGTGAGCCCCTGCACCCGGCTTGCATTTCATTTTTAAATAGCGATTTCTTTTGTTGTTTTAATAAAAGCGTGATTTGGATTTTTCATGTTTAGGAAATGTGAGATCCTGCCTGCATCCCAGCTGTGGCCAGATGTGCAGAAGTAGTCCAAGACAAGTCTGGCAGTGCCTGACAGGCTGACAGCTGAGAGCCTGTCACTCAACTCCCGTGGAGGCTGGCACTGGAGGAAGCTGAGACAAACCACTTTATTGATAAAAACATCCTCCTGCTGCCACATTCCCAACAGTGGCACATCCTCACTTGGTGACAGCAGCAGTTGAGAACACCTTGGGAGGCTGTCCGCATACCCCCATCCCCTTGCCCTCCTCCCGCCGTCCTCCACCAGCCGGGGACTCAGGCAGAACAAGTAAGGTGCTTCTCAAAGGCAGCTCCTTTCAACACTTAGAACCCCGTTGCCCAATCCTGGTTGGCCTGGGACAATCATGAATCTTCCAAGATATCCTGGGGCAGGCTGAGAGAGGCAGAAAAGGAAAAGAGGTGGGCTCCTCCAGCTTCTGCCTCCAGGTCATTTCTTCCCTTTGCGTTTCAAAGGCATCTAGTGACACCCATCCAGAACACAAACAACATCTACAAAGAGAAGCCACCTTCTCTCAAGTACTCACCTACAGCTTTTTTTTTTTTTAGTAGGAGTTTCACTCTCGGTAGAGTACAATGGCATGCTCATCGCCACCACAACCTCAACCTGCTGGCTTCAGGTGATCCTCCTGCCTCAGCCTTTCTTTTTTTTTTTTTGAGTTGGAGTCTCACTCTGTCACCCAGACTGGAGTGCAGTGACTGCTCCCGGCCACTGCACCCTCGACCTGCTGGGCCCCGATGATCCTTCTGCTTCAGCCTTCCAAGTAGCTGGAACTACAGGTACATGCTACCACACCGGTTCATTTTGATTTATTGTAGAGATAAGGTCTGCCAAGTTGCCCAGGCGGGTCGAACCCACGGGCTCAGGCAATCCACTCACCTCACCATCCCAAAGCGCGGGATTACAGGCTGAGCCACCGAGCCCGGCTCTGCGCGGGATTACAGGCTGAGCCACCGAGCCCGGCTCTGCCTCAGCCTTTCAAGTAGCCAGAACTACAGGTATGCGCCACCACACCCAGCTACTTTTTTGATTTATTGTAGATATGAGCTCTGGCCAAGTTGCCCAGACTGGTCTCAAACTCCTGGACTCAGACAATCCTCCTGCCTCCGCCTCCCAAAGTGGTGGGATTACAAGCGTGAACCACCACGTCTGGTGGCCCTATAGCTTTATTGACTCATATTCAACACACAATTTCAGCAGCCTGGGTTGTCAAAAGCCCGAGCCTGCTGACATCAGAAGGGAACAAGAGTCTGAGGTGGGAAGATGTGAGGACTGTCAGAGGCACAAGGACAACAGAAGTGGCACTGGTAGCTCAATGTTTGTTAAGAGAGAAAGAAAAGCTGAAAAGTAGTCTAGCAGTATGAAACCGTCTGACAAGAGACTGAGCCACCAGGGAAAGATTCCAACACCTTCTGCTTAAGAAGGCAGAGAATATTTAACATATTTTAGATAATTTCTTTTTTTTTTTTTGAGTCGGAGTCTCACTCTGTTGCCCAGGCTGTAGTAAGTGGTATGTTCACAGCCACCGCAGCCTCGACCTGCTGGGCTCCGGCGATCCTTCCGCCTCAGCTTTCCAAGTAGCTGGAACTACAGGCATGCGTCACCACACCCGGCTAATTTTTTTATTTATCGTAGAGATGAACGCTCACCAAGTTGCCGAGGCTGGTCTTGAACCCCAGAGCTCAGGCAATCCTCTTGTCTCAGCCTCCCAAAGTGCTGGGATTACAGGTGTGAGCTACCACACCCAGTCAATATTTTAGAGAATTTTTTTTTTTTTTTTTG